TTCTGATGCAAGTATTGAATCTCTGAGCCTGTTTTGCACACAGACTTGCAATAGCAAGCCCTCTGTTAATAGTAGTAAACATTTGGGCAAATGCCCTGTGTAATGCCCATGGGTAATGTGAGATTGAGCACCGTGTTTGCCTTGTCTGGGCGAGCTGTGCCCATCAGACTGGAGCCAGTGCTGCCCCAGGGTCTCTGTCCCCAGGCTGTCCCTGGTGCAGGGTTAGTGTCACCTTTTGATGGCCATAACCAGCCTCAGCTCTGTCCCAAAGAAGGTGCAGCCACACTGAGGCAGCTCAGGGCACATTTTGGGTTTGCCCATTGGTGAAAAGTCCCGGGTAGAGCTGTAGTTCAGCCCCTGAAGTTGTGGTCAGATAACAAACATCATAAATTACCTGTTTCCCGTAAAATAACAGAATTACTCATGGTGTCCCACAGACCTGTTTTTTATTCACCACAGGCTGGTTTCCTACTCCTTTTGGCAGCTGTTAGCACTGTGCTTTGGGAAACAAACAAACATCCAGGGATGAAAACATTCAGGTATTTAGAAATGCTTCACCAAGGTCGCATAAATAACAAGCTGGGAAAGGAAAATACCAAGTTAGCAGAAACTAGTGCTGAACGTTTCAGCATTTTGCATGTTTGTGCTATAAATAATATCTGGGAGCAGAAACTCCCCCCTATAGCCACAGATCTGCTCTGTGTAGCTGAACATGGTGCTGCTCCAGCCACTTTAGAATGTGGTCAGTAAAAAAAAAGAGCTGGGAGGTGGCAGGGGAGGTGAAGTGCTGTTCAGTGGCAAGAAAACACAGAAAGTCAGTCTTTGGGGGTCAGAATTGGAACAGGTTTTGGTTCTGAATGGGGCAAAGGTTTGTCCTGGGTCAGTCCAGACTGCAAGGAGCAGCTCAGTTGCCTTTTGTATCATCTCCAGACCCCCACCATCAAAATCTCAGTGTCAAGGTTCATTTGTGGGGCTGTCTCTTACTCCAGAATCATGGGGCTTTTGATATTTTTAAATAATTTGAACCAGTTGAAATAATTTAGAAATCCATCTGCTGATTATTTAACCCTTTTTGATACAAACCAAGGCATACACATGACTTGCCATTGCATTTCCCTACAGGATTGCTTTGGACTCACCACTGTGGGTGGTGAGTGCCCTGATTTAAGTTGAAATGTTCGGTTCTTGATTTCTATCATGGCCAAAGTCTTCTCCATGCTCTTCTTTTCTCCCTAAAATTGTTAATGTTTTTTTTTTCCTGTAATCAAGAAGATGGATAATGACAGAGGTTGTTTGCTACTGCATAGATACTGTAGCTGCTCTCAGATTTCTATAAAAATTGAAACAAAAAAAAAAAATAAATCACCAAGAAGAATCCAGGTCCCAACATAACAGGAGATACAGCTCCACTTGCTTCTCTAGAGGCAGAGGAAATGACAAGGCATCAACACAGTGATGAAGGGGGAGATCATGGGAGATGATGAGAGATCTCAGCACAGTGAGATTGATTGAGCTGGGGCAGCAGTGGAGGGCTCCTCTCCCCCTCCCTGCTGCTCCATCCTGCCCTGATCCAGCCCCTGCTGTGCCTGCTGCTTCTACAGGGTTTGACTTTGCAGCTCCCTGTCAAGCGACTTGGGCAAATTCTTCCAAAGTCAGATGTCCTTACTCTATTTAAGCAACAAACTTAATCTGATATATTTATATCTGGAAGAGTTTGGAGGTGTGGTGGGTGATTTTTTTTTCCCCTTGGTGTTTTTCCCACAGGGTGTCTCTCTATGACTGCTCCTGTTCCTCAGTGGTTGTTATTGTTAAGATCCCATCATCTGACCCTTTATAATCCCTGTATTGGGTTACACTGCATTGCTGGACATGCTTGGTGTATGCTACTGATTGTCAATTTTAGACTCTCCCATCAGCCTACGAGTTTCTTAAAAGTAATGCAAGGTTATGTTACATGGGCACATTCCCTGACTCGTTCCACTTGCACTTGGAAATGCCATGGATTCGTGATAGAGGGGAATGAATGTGGGGAGGGTTTATAAGCAAAAAAATGAAAGCCAACATTCTAGAAATTGGTCCCCAATATTTGGTCAGCATGTTTCCTATCAATTACCTAAAAAATAGAACAGTTTTAGGCACTCAAAACTTGGGTTCATGGGCTGCCTCCTGTCAAATGGTGGCACAGTGGTCAGGCCTTCCTGATATTCAAGTTAAGAACTTGTCAGCCTTTTGTCTTTCAAGAGGGATGGGTTGGAATTTTTGAAGAGAATGTGTAAATGAGACAGAAATCAATGAAATGAAGCAATCCTGCAGGAGAGGCTGGTGGGTTTCATTCCAGAGTTCATCCATATGTGAATATCTGCCTTACAAACAGTGAGCAGTGAGTCAGAATGGTTCATTACCAAGGGGAGACTTCTGTCATTGTGCTCCTGAAGTGCTTTTGTTTAATGCTTCTTGAGTTCCAACTTAGTGTGAATTTTGAGCTGCTACTCCCTGTAGGAATTGCTCTGTGATTGCTGCAGGTACCTGTTGTCTTCTCCTGGGGCTCTGAGTGCAGCTCTGGCACAGCACAGCTCTGCCCTCTGGTTACAGGGCACCTCGTGCAGCAGCTTGTTAGTCCAGGGATTCCTGAACAAGTGTCAAATTGGTGTGGAAATAGCAAGTGTCACCAGTGGAAGTGCCTTTCCTGTCATAATGAAGGTTGAGAAATGTGTGATTATTTTGGAAAGCTCTGAGGGTAACACCAACAAATGTTCTTGGGAAGAAGATGGAAGTTTAGACTTGGAAAAGTGTTTTAGACCCACTGTGAGTGTGTCCTCACCTCAAGGGTGTTGTTTGTTGCTCTAATGTGCTGTTACCAGAACATCAAAACACTAGGCAGTGTGTTAGGAAAGGAAGTACATCCTGGAAACATAATTTATGGAGGAGAGACCTAAAGTAGGCAAAATATGATCCCTACCTTGGAAATCTGTGGGATTAGCACCCGTGTCACCAGGAGAGGTGTCACCAGGCAGCCCCTTGCTCTGCATCTGATGGGGAACGCATCATTCTCAGTGTAGTGTTTCCTAATAGTGGTATTGACAAGTGATATATTTCTGCTTAAGAGAAAAAGTGGTTTTCAAATACCTGATAGTGTTCTCAGTATCCTTGTTTTCCTTCTCAGGAGGACTTCATGGGTTTGACACTGCTTAACTTAGATGATCTGACAAGACCATAGCCCAAGATGGCCTGGCTGAGGATCATGGAAACCCAAGAAGGTGGCATGGGGCTTTATTTACAGTCAAGAAATTAGCAAGTGAGAAGTAAGCACTGAATAGGCAGCTTCTGTGGCCAAAAGTGCATCGTTTGGGGGAGTAGCATATTGGCTACTGAAGAGCATTGATTTATTTGATAACATCAGGAAACCATTTATGTGTTCTATTATGGGCAGCAGTCACTGGGGGTTAGAGCTGCTGGAGCAGATAGATTGATGGGTGGGTCTGCTGTTGTGCTTGCTACTGCATAATATAAAACAAGGATAAGGACATCCCTGAAATACCAAAGGGGAAAATGGAACCATTGCATTCTTGACTGGAGGTTTTTATTATCTTTTCCTTTACCACTTCTTCTGTTCTTAAATTTTTGCCCTCTTCCCTGCAGTGTAACAGCATGAATCAAATGAGGACTTTTGGATAATGGACTTTTAATAGAGGTTAACAGGGCTTAGAACTCCATGTTTCATGTTACAAAACACAGCAAAGAGACACCATCAGTATGCAGGGCCTATTTTGCTGCTGGCAGGCTCCAGCAGAGCGTGGTTGAGACTGTGCTGAGAAATACGGTTTAAAAATTGGCAGAGCTTGGTTTCATAGCCTCTCCCCCATGGTTTTGCTCCTACAGAAGCTGCATTTGCAAGGTGAGGATTTGATTTGACACCCCTGCAAAGAAAATTTGAAATTTCGAGAGGAAATCTTCCTAATCCAATGAACAGCCCAAACTGTGGGTAGCAAAATTAGCCACCCTTGCTACTCTGCTGTTACAAAGAAAACATGGACATGGTGATGTTGGAGGTGTGGCTTTCTGGTTTGCTGTGTGAATTTAGCAGCCTATACAATACTCTGAGGAAAGAAGGAGGTACTTAGATGAAATGGACACCTAACAAAAAAAGAGTCTGAGGAGTTACATCAGGTCTACAAATATAACAAAGTAAATCTTTGTAGTTGCTTAATAATTCTGAAAAAAAAAAAGAAAAAGTAAAAAATAGAAGGATGAGCCTGAGATGAACTGTCAGCCAAGAAGAGTTGATGGTGCAAATGATGTTCATGATAGGGACAGGCCAGTCAAGAAGGAGGGGTTGGCATTGCCCCTGCATGGGAGCAGGGATGTGCCATGGGAAATGCTTCCCAGGGAGCACTCAGGCTGCTTCGAAGGGCTGGTGCCTGTCCTTGCAAGGACCTCTGTCCCCAGGCACAAGGTGCATATTGTACCAGCTCTACCTGCCTTTTTCCATCTTGGAGGACTTTCCCCTGACCAGGATGTGAGGCCTGGGAGAGGTCACCAACTGAGAGTGGCTGCACTCACACCAGAACCCACTGTGATGGTCAGTCAGGGTTTAGACCTGGCCAAAGGCAGTGCAGGGCCTGTGGTCTTTGGCTATTTTGAGACAGATTGGAGATGCTTTGGATACAGAGACCTTCCTGATTCTTCCCAGAGGTCAGATTTACCTGCACATCTCACAAGTACCACTCATGTCCCTTCATCCTGCTCTGGTGATTCCAACACAGGGCGAAGCCCTGAGCAGGGCAGTGTCCTGGGAATCCTCTGGAACATGTCTGTCTTCTGCCTCCCCCAGTGGGGGACACACCAGCTGCACTGAAATGTCAGAAGGGTTTGCACAGCTGACAGGTTGCTGAAAATGGAGCATCGCCATAAATTCTCTTTATCCAGCCAAGTGCAGCTTAATATAGACTTAGCTGCATGGGCTGCCTCCTGCACTGAGCCCGGGAGCTGCCACAGCTCCTGACCAAAACATGAACTTGTCGATTTAACCGGATCAACTACTGCTAGTGAAGGGGAAAAAAGAAAATCCTTTGAAATTTATCTTTATCTTTAGGTTTAAAAAAGTATTAGAGGAAGGAGGGAAGAATGAACATGTCTGAACTCGGCCAAAACTCTGATGAAGACGTGTGCCCTGAGGACATTGATGAAGATGAAATCCTGGCTAACCTGTCCCCTGAGGAGCTGAAGGAGCTGCAGAGTGAGATGGAAGTCATGGCCCCAGACCCTGAAGTCCCGACTGGGATGATACAGAGGGATCAGACGGAGAAACCCCCGACAGGGAGCTTCGACCACAGGTCCCTGGTTGACTACCTGTACTGGCAGAAGGCATCCAGACGCATGCTCGAGGATGAGAGAGTTCCTGTCACCCTCTTGCCCTCTGAGGTAACAAGAAAAAAAAAAAATCACAAATATTTATTGTGCATCAGCAGTGGGATCTGCTTTTATAGCTTTAATACCTTAACCTGCCTCTGCTTCTGTCCCTTACGTAAGGTAGAGTACAAACAAAAGTAGATTAATCCTAAAAGCCTCATCAGTGATAGAATCCAGCTTGGACTGATGTCAGGGTTAGTAATTTTTTAATTGCTTTCCCCAAATATTTACTTAAGCTTTCTAATATAAAAAAAATCCTAATTCTATTTTGAGTAAAGCAAATCACTGAGAAATGTCACAAGATCAGTTTCAGAGGATGTAACTCTAATTTGTTTGAGTTTGCATATGGAAGAACACCATGTTGCTTTTCCATGGAAGATTATATTAATTATACAAATTAAATTATTAATTGACAGAATTTAATTACATACTTGAGAAAAATCCTAAACCACTGTATTTAACAAGGTGAAACATTCGCTAACAACCAAGGATGCAAACTCTGTGAACTAGTTCAACCCTACTCAATGCAGTGCTTAAATTTATTTGACTATCCCCATGACTTTGAAATAAAGTTAAGGTCATACTTAGATATCTTTCAGGATGAGAGCTACACTTAAAAATAGGTTAATAGAATTGAAACTTGGCCAGATGAAACACATCCATACTTGCATGTGAAATTCACTAGAAGTGATTTTGAGGTAACTGATTTATTTTATTTTTGTTTTAAATATCAGTGGTTTGTTAATACACACCAGTGTGGCACATCCCAGGGCAGGTTTCGTAGCCTTTGGACCCCAGGAGGAATTTGTGGGATTTTTCTCCTCCTACAACACTCTTACACTCAAATAAGCATTTTTTTAAACACTTCCGAGGTTAAATCTGAAATCTGGGTGTGGAGCTGGCTTCTGCATTCACAGCTGGTGAAGCAATCCCCACATTCACCACCACAGCAAAGGGGAGCCACAGCCCCAAGGGCAGAAGTGACTGGGACCATTTTGTCTGACTTTCTTATCTTTGAACTCCAAACGGAGCTAATATTTTATCTTCAGTGAGGTGCTGCCTTAGGTGTGATGCTCTGGGACTGCCAGAGCAGGTGTTCTTGCTGTCCCTTGTGCTGCCCAGTCAAGGGACTTGATTCCACAGTGGTCACAGAGTGCCCCCTTCACTCCTCCTTGGGCTGAGCAAACCATCAGGGGCTCACACTGATGTCCAGTGCTTTGTGGCATACGAAGGAAATGTTCTCTCTTGCAAAGAAATGTAAATCCAGAAAGAGGCTTTGGATCAGAAACTCTTAACTCCCAGAAGGGTTCAAAGACCATCTTAACATATCATTAAGTATGTTCAGGATTTAATTGTCAGGACTTAATTTAGTAGGCAAAGATGAGAAACTGGTTTGCAGCCTCTTTAAGAACAAACTGTTCCTGTGTTCCCAAGCAAGCTGGTAAAGCCCGAATTTACAGCAAAGACACTTTAAAGGATTATTCTCTATTGTATGGGCATAGAGGGATCTAAATCCAGCTGCTACGTGTTTATTTGAGCAGAAGGTTATTGTAACAAAGATGTTTTGCAACTATTTCAGCTGTGAGGTTTTGTCTTCCTCAGAGAAGTGCTGCAGAGGAGATGGAAGGAGAGGCTGGAAGCAGTGGCGAGGTGGCTGGCAGGAGGATGCCAGGAACAGAGGGAAAAGAGAGACATTACCAAAATGAGCACGTGTCAGAGTCAAGAATACAACCTGGGGAGACAAAGAAAGATGGAAGTGATAAGGAAAGACTGGTGGAGGAGGATGAGAAAGAAGAAGCAGAGGAGGAAGAGGAAGATGATGAAGAGGAGGAGGAGGAAGAAGATGAAGAGGAGGAGGAGGAAGAAGAAAATGAGACTGAATTGGAAACAAAGGAGAATTACACCAATGAGAACAGTCACAACAACCAGATAAGTCAGAAGCCAGGTACAGAACCAGGAGAAATCAAAGAAAAGCCTAAGGAAAATGAAAAGAAAATATCAAAATTGAACATCCCCCAGAAGTTAGCTCTGGATACCAGCTTCATGAAGCTAAGTGCCAGGCCTTCAGGAAATCAAACCAATTTAGAAGACAGTTTGGAGAAAGTCCGAAAAAACAACCCAGATGTGAAGGAGCTCAACCTGAACAACATAGAAAACGTCCCCAAGGAAATGCTGATAGATTTTGTCAACGCCATGAAAAAGAACAAGAACGTAAAAACATTCAGCTTGGCCAATGTGGGGGCTGATGACAACGTGGCATTCGCGCTGGCCAACATGCTGAGGGAGAACAGGAGCATCACCACCCTGAACATTGATTCCAACTTCATCTCTGGCAAAGGCATCGTGGCCATCATGCGCTGCCTGCAGTACAACGAGACACTCACAGAGCTCCGCTTCCACAACCAGAGGGGCCTGCTGGGCCACCAGGCTGAGATGGAGATCGCCAGGCTGCTGAAAGCCAACTCCACCCTCCTTAAAATGGGGTACCACTTCGAGCTGCCAGGGCCCAGGATGGTGGTGACCAACCTGCTCAGCAGGAACCTGGACAAGCAGAGGCAAAAGAGGCAAGAAGGGCAAAGGCAGCAGCAAATGAAAGAGCAGAAAGAGTTGATAGCGATGCTGGAAAATGGACTTGGGTTGCATCCCGGGATGTGGGAGATGCTGGGGGTACCGCTGCCCCAGCTGAGGATGCAGGAGTCCCCACAAGCCCCCAAACCCCCTGTCCCTGCAGCTGTGTCACTGAGCAAAAGGCAGGAGAACACGAGGCCACCAGCACCCGAGCAGCCGAGCAGAGAGAAACCCGTCAGCTTCAAAGTGGTCAAGCTGAAGAAGACTCAGCGCAAACCCCCCGTGCCAGAGTACGTGGAGCCTGCTGAGAAAACCAACCTCAAAGATGTCATCAAAACACTGAAACCAATTCCCAGGAGGAGACCTCCTCCCCTGGTGGAAATAACCCCGAGAGATCAGCTCCTCAACGACATCCGCCAGAGCAACGTCGCTTATCTCAAGCCGGTAAGTGCAGAGTGGTGGCTCCGAGGTGGGGAACAGCAGTCACTGCTGTGCTCTGAGCTCTGGTTGGAAATGTTGCGCATTGGCAGGGCTGGAAAATGCATCTGCACGTGGCATTGCCACTTTTTTTGTGTCAGGCTGCCCCTCCTGGCATGCAGGTGGTTGTTTTCCAGCAGCACTGAGGTATGGCTTGTACAGGGAACTCACTGCAAGCACCAAGGCTGCAGCATCCCTGTCTGCATCCACAAGGTAAAAGAAAGGAAATTCACTCAGGAGGTGAGCAAACCCACAGAAACTCAACTTACTGTACTCAAAATAGTGTATTAATTATGACAGGCAAGTGCTATTTTAAGACAGTTGTTTCAGGAGTACAACAGGTATAATTATTTTTCACATTAGTCCCCCATAAACCCCATGTTTCTCTCTTCAATAGCCGTGTCTTTCCTTAACTCTCACTTTACACAAGAGAGCACTGTCACTTGGCACACACTGAAATCCAGCCTGGACTCACAATCTGAAGCCCAGCTCCTACCTGCCTCACCCAGGAACAAGGAGTGTATTATTTTAGTGATCCTTTGCTGCTCATTATTTTGTTTGTCCTTATATAGATCGATTGCAAAATTCTAGTGCTAACAGGAAAAGAAAGAAATTAGATCCACCAGCAGGGAAGATGGAACAAGTGGGAAGAAAGTAGTGGTACTGTAGGGGATTTTGTACCTGTTTTCAAGTAAAACTTTGCCACTGAAAATTGGCTCAGTGGTCAACTCAAGTGGGCTCAACATCATCCTAACTATGAGAATGCCAGTCTAAAACTGTACACTGCCTCTTGAGTATGCTCTCACTTGGGTACCAAATCCATGGGCTGCTTCTCATAATGCTGGCCACCAGATTTAACCTCTTGCTCTCCAGACCTGTTATATTCCCTTGCATTGATTCAAGAAATCCTTAAAGCTGGCTGATGTATTTGTAGCTTGATGCCTGTTTGTGTTGCCAAGGCTCAAGGAAGAGGACAGAAATTCCCTTGTAATTAAAAATAGTGAAGTAGTACTTTGTAATTATTTTTTCTTTCAATATTGACATTTTAATATAGTGGGCCTAATTTTGCTTTCATTTATACCTACAAAGAAATTATTTCCTCAATAATTCCAGACAGACTAGTTTGTCCTGATATTTCTGTCAGGAGCAGGTCCTGCAGTGACCTCGGATTCTGGTCCAGGATTACCCTGAACATTCTGTCCCCTAGGCAAGTTTTGGTGTACTGAGTTTCTGCTGGCCAGTCCAACTTGGCCGCAGCCAAGGCCTCTCCTCAGGGCATTTCTGGCTTTTCTAGGCCAGTCTAGGGTTTGCATTTTGGTTCCACATCCCAGACAACAAGACCTGCTTGTGGAAAGCTCACACATTGTGCTGGTGACAGCAGGCTGGTCCTTCACAGCCATGGGACCTGCTGAAAGGAAGGTGGAGGACAATGACACTTGTTCTCTGCCAGGCACAGCTCTTACTTTGCACAGAAGTGGTTGAGAAACCTGGGTGCTGCCACTTGCCAGGGATGATACTGAACCCCAGCCATTCCCCCCAAAATGATCAGGAGGACTTTATCCATGAGAACTGTGGGGTTAAAGGTAGAGGGATCAATTCATGGTGCATCCTAAATATGCCAGATAACAATTGCTATCACAGCCCATGGAAAGATGAAATAATGGATACATGTACTGGGGGCTTGGGGTGGTTTGTTTTGCTGGATTGTCTGGGGATTTTTTTGCTTGGTTCTTTTTTGGCCATCAGACCACTTGGCTTGGATTTGGGGCATTTAGGGTGTTATTCTCCCCATCCTACATGATCTTGGTAACTCCTTTTTGCCACAGTTCCCTCAGCTTAATTTCTAAAATGGAGTTTTACTGCTTGAGCTGAGCCGAGTGTTTGATCTCTTTGTGGTGGGACTCAGTGCCTTCAAATTGATTTCCTGGACCTCAAGAATTGCAAACATCAAGCGGGGCATTCCAAACCAAAGAAAGCTCCCAACTAGAGCTCCTTGGAGTTCCCAGCTGTTATATTTTTAGTTCCTGAGGGTTCATATTAGACTAAACTGGCCTGGTAAATAAGACTGAGAAATTTCCTCCTCCTAATACTCCATGTCCTTGTCCAGGTGCCGTTGCCAAAGCAACTGGAGTGAGAGACCAGACTGACCTGAAGAAAACAACTTGGAATAAGGACTATTCAAGTTTTGCTTACAACTGTTTCAGCAGATGTTTTCTGCAGAACCCAGGTGGTGTATTCAATTCTTTGGGAACAAAGCTTGCAATGCACACTTGTAATAAGTGTGGTGAAAACGGCTGGCATGGGAAAAGTCAGTGCTAAGTGTTTCCATCAGGTATCAAACAATCCCACTGCCATCTGTCTGCCAAGTGGATTTGAGGCTTCAGTTTGTTGTGGGAGTATTTTCTCAGAGGCATCAATAACCTTGTCTTTCTAGTTTGTCAGCAAACTATTTTGCTTCCACGTTGTCCTTCTGCTGCCAGATTCTGCAGGAACACGCTGTGCTTTATCTTATCTTTCTTTTCACACACACGCTACTTTATTACTCTCTTGTCCATGAGAAATGTATTTGGTTTCCATGTATACAGCTTCATTTTTTAGGCTAAGGAAACAGAAATGAAATAAAGCTCTCTCTGTAAGATGTGTGTAGCACTTCCATTGCTAACAAAGCACTCACAGACAGAACGACTGCTCTGGTACAACGAGCACCTTCCAAGCTCCCTCTATTTCAGAACAATGTCTAGTGGGTATTGTACCTGATCAGCATTTAAAAGATGATGCCATGCTCTGCTTTGAGAACTGTGATGTTCAATCCCTGTGATTCACCTCTGCAATCCTTAATTGCAGCCACCTTGGAGAGCACTGAAATGCCATTTTAGGTTTCTCTCCATGCTGTTTTTGTGGCAGGAGGATGAGCCTCACCTCTTTTCCAGGGGTTTAAGAAACTCCTAATTCCTCCTAGTATGATGTATGAATAGCATGTCACATCCTGGCAGGGCTGGATTTGAAGGGGTAAAACCTGTATATATACAACTTAGTTTTTCCTTAATATTTTTGTGAATTTTTTTTCTCCTTTCTGTTTATAATCACATTAAGTTCTTCTGCTGTCTTTTTTGTAAAGCAGCTACAGGTAAGTCACACTCTTGTGAAATACATCCACAAGAGACCAATTGTTTTAGGGGCTTTTTTCTTTTCTTTTTTTAAAGCTATAAAGCTATAAGGTGCTAAAATGCACCTTGCTGTGGCTGCTTGATCCAAAGGCACAGCTTTGTAGCTCCTGGCAGGATTTCCTTCAGGTGAGTTAATCTCTGAGTGATAACTCCTAGCAGCCTTCCCCTGGCAGCTAAATCCCAGTCCCATCCTGCTCCCCCTCCCCATGTTTATTTTAATAGTCCTGTAGTATCAGCAATGTCCAGGACCTCTTGAATCCAAGGTAGTCTCTACTATCACTTATTTGAATTTTCATTTGTTCTTGTCCTTTTGGTACCTATCACCTGATCTCTTTCCAATCGCCACCTTCCAAACTTGTAAAGCTCTCTCTCAGCTCTGCTTCTGTTTGCAAATGTGATGCTCCAAACTTGGGAAACCTGGTTTCTGTATTGCCCAAGTAGCTTTAAAGTATCATACAACAGGGAAATGATATAAAAAAATGACAATAATTTTCATTGCAGCCCTCTCTTTTTATAAAGGAGAAGAGAAAGGAAGAAGCTTGGCACTTCCAACCAAGCCCTTTCACAGAGCACAGCAGCAAGTGACAAATGCACCAAGTAACTCCTCAGGAAAGCTCTTGGAGCACACTGCTCTCCACACTGGCTTCAAGGCCAGGCTGGTGCAGCTCAGACTGCAGCAGTTGGGACAGGGAAGCACAAAGGAGTATATAATAGAGTGCTTTACGATCTCCAAGCTGCCAGACATCAATTACTGCTACACCCAGAAGCCGCCAAACATGAATTTCCAGGGTGGATAGAGCATGGCCTGCGAAATTCTGCTCTGATCCATGTTCTCCCACCGAGCAGCCTCTCAGTGATCACAGGAGGAGGGAGGCAGACACAGAGATCACACCATTAGTTTGACTGCAGCAGAGCTGGTACTAGTACTGCTCAAGGCACAGCTTCCAGTAATCCTAGAAGCAGAAATCCCTCTCAGGTAATTAACAGAAACGTGAAATCCCAGTTAAGTAGAGTTATGTAAGAGACCAAAACTGCATGAAGAAATACCCTAAGTATTCCACCTTTGTAGAACAGCTGTCTTAAGCATGCAAGAGCAATGCTGGAATATTTCAGCTCTGAGGTCCCTTGGGAGCAGTCAGAGCCAGCAGCTTCATCCCCAGCGTGGGCTTGTGCCACGAGCTGCAGGGTAACAGCAGATCTCCCACCACCCCAACCACAGACACAGGCACAAGCTCAAGTTTCCAACCATTAGAATTTATTTTTCTTCATAACTGTGCAGTTTTTAAAATGCTACTGTAATGATGAAGTCATAGGCTACTATGTTCTTTAGGTGTGGAAACAGTTTTTGAAAAACAAAGACCATGCGCTACAAGTGAGGAACAGGCCATTGACTCTTCAGCTGAAATATACAGACATTTTTGATAAATACTGATCACCTTAACACTTAAATGGAATGACATGTTCAGAGTTCTACACAGTTCACTATGGAAACAGCATGGCAAGTTACATAAAAGCTTCAACTTAAGGATCCTTGCTTTTTTGTTAAATTAATTACTTGGTTAGAAAAGAGAAATGCAAGAATATTTGAAATAGAGTCTCACCTGGACAACTTTCCCCCTCCCTGTTGTTGGTAAGCTCCTGTTATCAAGATGATTCCATCAGAGCTGGCAGTTAAGTTGTATATATATAAAAGAATCCCCCACACTGCTTTCAACATCAGGAGTTTTAACAGGCAATTATCTTCATGAATTTGGAATGGGTTTTCAAAAAATTGTATCTTGACATTTATTGCTTTTACTTGTAAACCTGAAATCCAGTTAATTCCTTTGAGGAGTGTTGAAGTACAGAGTCAACAGATGCATGTTTGACCTGTATCTTTGCATTCTGGGTGAGAAGAAAGAAAAAGATGACCCACGCTCAAGAACACACACCTCCATCTACAAACAGCCTGTGCAGACTAAAGCAGGTAAGTACTAAAGTAGCAGTATTTAAAAACATTAATGGAGTAGAAATCAAGCTCATCCAAACTCTCTCTTTTTCTCCCATGCTTGCCCAGAGTTTAGCTGGTACACAAGGAGGTTTGGCTCTCCTACAGAAGGGAGCAAATCTATGGATGAGGATTTTGGAGAGCCTGAAGGTAAATTACTGGGACTGGCAGGCAGTGCCAGGTATACTCTTCATGCTTACAGCTATTTAGACGGTTTCAGGGCTGCTAAAGGAGGGCTTTGAGGTGAGGACAGGAGCCCAGACTGGACACAAGCACTGCACAGTTTTACCACGTGCCAATTAAGCTGGTAATGTGGCCTCTGTAATACAGAGCACTCAAGGGACGGATTTGGAGGATGCAAGAGATACCTGCTTGTGATACATTCCAGCTCATCTGAGCATCACCAGGCTGAAAGGTGCTACCCAGCATAACCTGGCTAAACTGCAATATTTTAGAACTGAGATGAAAGGGATGTTGCTTTAACAGACCAATTTGCTACAAGACAGTTTGAGAGACTGCATTCCATAGGTTTCCATCTCTTCCTCCTTTACCCTCAGAAGAAGAGACAAGGAAACATGGTTAAGTTAGTATGTATTTGTGTAAACACCAGAACATTTTGCTATACAATAGAAAAAAAGTTGCTGTTCTTATGTTCTTAGAGGAGCCCTGAAGACCTTGGAATACCTGTATCCTGCAACTATTAACCTGTACCACATGCATTTCCTGTTTTGTACATAAACTGAAAGCAAGCTTGAACAATAGTAAATAGCAACTACACTCCTGCAACAGGCAGAAATACCATGTTGCAGCTGCTTACTCCTTCACTTTAGATATGTAGTCAGCCAGTTTGTTGATGCTATCCTCTTGCTGTTCTAGAGCATCCAGTATGAAGCCCATTGGGGTCTTCTTCAAGCCTATCCCCTCCATCTTGTTCTGCAGCTTGTTCTGTATGTTCCGGAGCCTCAGGGAAGCATGGACAAACATCACTGCATGACACAAACACACTCATTAATTGTTAATGCCCAAGGAATGAATAGTTCTTGCAGCACTTAAGCCACATCCCAGCACTGTGACATCACTGGAAGATGATGACGTATCAACCACTGCTTAAGTAACCACAGGTAACCATTTAATAATAACATTAAAGATGGCTTGTGCTCCTTGTGTCCCCTCCCCCAGTTCTATTTTGGGACCATTTAAACACACATAGCAAAGTTAACAACTGACTTAGACTCTGCAGACTTGTTTCAGAAAGCTCAAGTCACACAGCTTTACTCGCCCAGAGAAGAGAAGAAATACTTACAGAGGAGAGGAAGAGTGATCCCAAACATGAACACCATGACATCTCCCAGGTAGGAGATCAAGAAGTAGCTAGACAGCATGATGGCCAGGACAAACGTGGTTGGGTACTGCTTCTTCAGCTTGCGGAGTACATCCTTGTTGTGTGACATCCACACAAAGCCCAGGAAAACCAGCACCACCACAGTGCCACCAATGAGCATGTTCAGGGGACTCAAAAACCTGGAGAGAAGAGGAACAACAACAAAAAAGAGTTCCGTTTCAGAATTTTCATGACTTGTGTCCATATAGCATCAGCCAGCTCAGTGGTAATGTTATAGGGAGGTAAAGCATTGAAAAGACAGTTGCTGCTGTCAAGACCTTCCTCAAGGTCTTTACCAGGAGCTAAAAAAAGTAAAAAGTACAACTGAAGAAGAAACCCTTAGCACTGAATTTGGATAATCTTTATGTCTCTTCCTGAGCTTAGCTCAGGATGACGAATTTCTGCAGCACGTCTTCACAGAAGCACTTCTCACTAGGACCCCTCCTACCTCTGCAATCAACTCATTTGATATCACACTCAGAGTCAGCATATCCAGACAGCAGATGGAGACAACATTGACTGATCTTTTCCCTTCACATGACCAAAATCAGGCTCAGGCCTTCAGATGAGCTAGCTCTTCATGCTGTCTTGTCTAGGTTTGCAAAATGGAAAAGGTAGAACACTGAGTCAAGGAACTTACTTCACTACTCGTTTCTGAGTTCAAGTTCTCATTGGTTTACATTC